TTTGGGAAAAAAATTTTTTTTTTTTTTGGGCGTTAAATTATTAACTCAATCGTTATAAAATCCTTATTCGTGACGTCAGAGTAATAATAATAATAATAAAATTAAAAAAGTTACCCCAAATAAACAAAAAAAAAACCGAACAAATGTTACAACATTTATTTCTCTCCCCCCTCTGATTTCGATTCGGTCCTAAAATCATTATCATTATCATCATAAATGATTTTCAAATCCTCAAAGCCTTACTTATTATTATTATTATTATTTTAATACCGTAATAATTAATAATTTTTTTTTATTCGAGTAATAAATAATTTCATGTGACAATATTTAAAAAAAAAAAAAATTATTTAAGGTTGTGCGGGAAAAAGGTCAACAAAACCTTTCGAAAAAGGTTTTGCAAAATCCTCGATTTAATATTCAAAATCCAATTATAAATGCAAATTAAAATTTGTTAATAATAATAATAGTAATAATAATGATGATGAGTTTATAATCATTTACCTTTTGTTACCGACGGATACCTGAAAACGATTTAAAGAATCAAAAAAAAAAAATAATAATAAATTATTTGTGTAAAAATAACGTTTTGGTAAAGGTGTTTGTTTGTTTGTTTGTTGTTTCCGTTGTGCGTTTGTCTAAATTTAAAAAAAAAAATGTTTGTTGTTGTTGTGTGTGTGACGTAGACGTGATTAATGATGGATTATGAATTGACTTCATCATTTAAAAACTCTCAACTATTGGAAATCCAATTATAAAAAACATTAATTTATTTCAATATATATATAAACATGAAAGATGATAATAATAATAATAATGATAATAATAATAATAATAAACTTTGTTATTGAAAACTTTTAAAAAGTTCACGGAAAAATAAGAAAAAAGGGGGTATTAAAGGTCGTAAATGAGTCCAAAATAATGTCACGACCTTTGTAACCGTCCCCCCTCCTCCCTGCCATAAACTTTTTTTTTTTTTTTATAAACCGGGGAAAAAAGAGAAATTTTCATCGTCGAGGGAAATCTATCCAATACAACAACCGACGAAAAAAAAGAAAAATTAATAATAATAATTGACATTTAAAATTATTTAACGACCGTTGAATTTTTAAAATTATTATTATTATTATCATCATCATCATCATCTTATTAAATTGATTAAAACCGTGCAAACCAAAAAGTCATTTTCGCGTAAATATAAAGCGGTTGGTTTTTTTTTTATCGGTATAAATTAAAATAACAAAAAAAAGAAAAAGGTTTCGTTTGTAAAAAAAAAGGTACTCTCGATCAAAAGGTTTTTCATTTTTTTATTAACCTTTTGAGAAGCGGTCAACCAAAAAAAAAAAAAAAAAAGATGCGGAAGGATTATTGGCAGCCGGATATGGTTCACCATGTTTATGGTAATTACAGAAAGGTTCATTCATAAAAAATCACCTTTTTTTTTTTTTTTTTTTTAAAAAGGACATC